CAATTGATGGGTGGACGTTTTGTCAGTCTACGTTTAAGTTGCCTTCGTTGTGTTCGGAGCTTGACAGGATGTTTTAGAGTATCTATCAGTCCTGTAGACAATGCTCAAATACACATATTTTGCCTAAACGTTTGGTGATTGTTACTCATTAATATTACTGCTGATTTCATGACTGTCAAGACATTATGCCACTGAGGTGAACATGACTTTGAAGATTAGCCAACTGCGTTTCTAGTCATTCCTGAAATATACTCTTGACTTTCTCCTAGCTAGGTTGAACTCGAAGGTATTTTTCCGCTGTGGCTTTTCCACATTAAAACTCAAACAAATGCATTATCGTACTAGAGAATGATGAGTCTACAAATGTCCCCCGAAATGAATGACAATCTTCTATCAAGCCTCTCCACGGCTGAATAGAAGGAATATTAAGAAGTGATTTGATTGTGAACAGGAAGATCTATTAAGCTGTTATGGGTATGAGAACAGTTGTCACTTACCGGTTGCCCACACGACAAAATGGTATTTCTTCTTGAGGCACCTGTAAAGAAAACTGGAATAGCAGTGGTAGTAAAGACCTGGAAGCGTCACCGTAGAGTCCAAAGGACAACTGCTCGAGGACGGTCACACATCGCCTTTCTGTGAGTTTGTATATGTTAGTTCTGTGCTTTAAAGCGAATTACGTCGGAGACAGAAATCCGTGCAGTATGAAATTTTAAGGGTTGACCTTTTCTAAGTCCTCCCATTGGGAAAAGAAAACAAAACCAAAGACGCCGGTTGCCTAGGGGAAACATCTTACTGCCGTCATAACAGTACAGTTAGGAGTACAACTTTGTTCTCCACCTATGAGTGTGCTGCTTTTAGTTTTACCATTCTCCAACCAACCTGCTTAGCATGGTAGGACCTATCCAATATAATTTGACAAGGTCCTTACGACAGGTAAACCACCACGTCATGGTAGCAACTACGGTCAGATTATTATACATAACATTGGAATGGCCATTATAGACAACCACATGTCTGACCTCAGTGTTATTGAGACAGTACTACCAAATACGAGTAATCCTTTAAACAATAATGACTGAGCATAGAAATGTTAGAGATCCTCACTTTAAAAAGATCCGATTTTATAGATATAAAACAGAACTCCTTGTAATGACGCGTTGACTAGCCTACCTTTTACTACTATTCTAGCTTCCCAATGACACTGGTTTTTGCTACAGATATTTTGGTTCCGTCTACTATGAGACCGTAGTTTTTACTAGTATTCTATACTTCGAAAGTGCAAAGTGTACAGCATGCTCCTCAACAACAACTAAGTGCGTGAGTTAAGTACTTATGTCTGTTCGTAGTTAGATGAAATGCCTGAGTACTTTTTTCTTACCTTCCTTCTTCCTTTAGATCTGGGGTTTCATATTGTACTATACTTGTAGTTATTTGATTTGATTTATTCCTATAGGACTACATTCTGCAATCATCGATACTACCACTCTTTTGGTAAAATTTTGCTTGCTGAGGGGAAATCAAGTATGGTAACTTGTGATGACGCATATTTATGTCAGGTACCGCGTTGTTGATGAGATACATTTTCGCTGTTTGAATCTAAAGTGTTCATTGTGTCCTGAACCTACATCACATATACTCTATTCTTCCAAGTTTTTGTATAGTCAATCGTAATCGACGTAGACTGGCACAAATGTTGAGTAGCCCAAGTTATTTATTTGAACACAAAAATTGATACAATGAGGCGACAAATACATATGTATCACACAATAACAATGAGGTTGTGAAGAGATAGAAAATGCAAAGTGCGTATAATAAAAAGAAGAACAGCAACGAACAGAGATTAGTGTATGAGAGTGAAATAATAATAATAACAATGGGAGAAACAGTTCAGTTAGTAAAAATACAGCCAGGAGGAATCCTTTTAGTCAAAGAAGTTCCGTTTACTTTTATGAAGAAAATAAAATAAAGTGACAGCAGGATCGCCACTGGATTCTATTCAGAGCCATGTCTGATAACGTCTCTAGGACCCCAACCAGGGATTCGTGAAGGACCAACAGAAGCCAGTTCTATACAGCTTTCATACACTGACCACCTTTCTGTAAATAATGCACGACGTGGAATTCTCTGGGATGACACTCGTAGAACATGTCCAAGCCACTGAAGTCGATGTTTCAAGATGGTGACACCAATTGTATCGTTGTCTCTGTGCCCGAACACACGATGCCGAACCTCTGTATTACTAACATAGTGTTGCCACTGGACGTCAGTAATCCTTCGGAGACAATGATGATCAAACACAGAGCCGTCTAACATTCTCAACTCGGAGAGGCCAGGTTTCACAAGCATAGAGCGAAACTGCTCTCACCGACGCGTTGTAGATCAGACGTTTTACAGCCAGACTGACATCACGAAGGCGCCAAAGATGGCCCAGATTGGCATAAGCCGCTCTGGCTTTCATTATACGTGAATCGACCTCATCACTCACGCCACCACCAGCACTTATACAGCTACCTAGATACACGAACTTCTCGACTACTTCTATCTGCTCATCATCCAGGGTGAGTACAGGATTGGAATCCTGCCAGTCTTGTAGAAGTGCTTTGCACTTCGAAGGTGCAAATTCTGATCTCTTGAATTCTCCATGTCTCTTTTTTTCTCTTTCCAAATTTATTTCACTGGATTATACTCTTTAAATAACATTTTCAAACCCTAATCTTTCCGATTACTGCTTATACTCTTACCGCCTCCATCACTATGGGATTTGAATGGACGACCGCATCTTTGTGCTCATGTGGTGTGGCAACTCGAGCTGATGTACGTCCGTACGAAGTTCTACGTTGTTACTGACCGACTGACTGAGGTGCAAAGCACATACCGTACCTACGGACATTGATTGCCAACTGATTAAGTGGGGATTGCATGGCTTGGGCATTATCGCAAAGTAAGACAATATCGTCCGCATACTCAAGGTCGAGAAGTCTTTCTCCAGGCAACAGATCCACACCGCCATTACCTACATCCATCAGAGCTGTTTCCAGAATGTTATCGATGGCAAAGCTGAAGAGGAATAGTGAGATTGAGCGACCCTACCTAACCCCAATACCTGAATGGAATAATGGAGAGAAGTGGTTGTATGAGCTCACTCTACCTGAGGCGTTAGTATATAGTGCCTTCAAGATGTTAATAAACTTCTCAGATACCCTTCTTCAACAGACAGTCCCAGAGAATAGTTTTGTCCAACGAATCGAAGACGGTCCTAATGTCATGAAACACTACGATTTTCGGCCTGTGATAAGTATGACGGTGTTCTAACATTTGGTAAATATATGATCAATACATCCCCGACTAGAACGAAAACCAGCATTATCCTCTCGAGTCAATCTTTCTCGGGTTTAGAACAATCTACGAAGTGTGACGGAAGCCAATAGTTTGGACGCAATCGAAAGTAGACTTACCCTCCGATAGTTGTTGCAGAAACGACATGAACCGTTTTTAAAGATAGGAACAACTATCGACTCATTCCATGATGTTGGAACACCATCTAATTGCCAGGCATTTGTAAATAACTCAGTCAGTCCCGTAAATAGAAAGTTGCTACCATCTTTGAAAAGGGCTGAAGGTAGGTTATCCGGGTCATTATTGGTGGCGCTTCGAGGGTTAGAGTTAGTTGCGGACACCTAACTCGTGAGGTGGATCAGTTGTCACAGGCCATGGAGGACAGGACAGTCTGATCGATGTTGCCGGGACAGCAAGTCAGTTGAATATTTAAAGAATGCCAATTAGAGTACTATAAATATTCCAAGATTTGTACACTGACCTAAGGTTTTTGTTGCCAGTAACTCAGATAAAAAAGGGAACCTCTAGCAGTAATCACAAGCAGGTACTTTTTCGCTAACCTGCAGAGCAACTTTACCATCAGGTTTTGTGCCCCTTTGTGAAGTGATTCGAGTAAAGAGCTTGTGGACATTAATGGAATGGATAGATTGGGGTCGGCGAGACTATAATTTATGGATGACCTTTGAAAACAAATTTGGAGCGATATTGGGAAATATTAGCCAATCAGCAAACAGCCAGTATAAAGTAAAATTATATTATACAAAACCAAAGAATTAAAGTGGATACACTTCTTCTACATGGTTCAAAAACTTGCCAAGGTTAGAAAGGAGTTCAGAGGTTCTAAAATCATAATGCATACGGTAGAGGAAATCATCTATATCGCTCCATAATAGCAGGCCTCTGGGGTCGTGATAAGGTCGCAAAAACTCTTTCAGCCTCGACCACATAGCTTCAATATCGTTTGTGTGCACTCCAATTGTTGGGTCCACAAAATGCTGCTTGTGATTAACGACACGATGCACATAACCAAGTCTATGCAGATATCTGTACGCTCTCTAATCATCCGTATATATTGTAGCACCTGGCTGCAGCCAGTTACTGGTGCTTTTAGTATCCATTTCGCAACAATTGTCATAATTTGCCTTAGTCTCTATTTGGATCGAGCGAAGAAAAATCCTATTCTAGCAGACTTCTTCCTCCAATACATATTACATCGGAAGACAACATTATTCGACGTTTACTAAGACGAAATAAGAAATGTTGGAATGTTGCCCTCAGCCTTGGCACATCAGGTACGACGGAACGCTACAGGTCGGTAAGAAACGTGTATAATTAAAATTAGGGAAGCTCAAAGAAAATATTCTCGTACATAAGTTACAGAACAAGGATGAATCATTGGATTCCCAACCTAATTAAAGAAGGGAGTGAGTCTGAAAAGAGAGAGGAAGATCGGGAAAAAGCAGAGGCTTTGGCTAACTATTTTTCGACGAATAGATAGAACTAAATACAGAGTCAACAAGCCGCCCGCTCACCGTGGACTTTAATCAAGACGATGTACTTAAGGCTCTTAGCACCTTAGACATGGAAAAGTCAACAGGACCGGATAAATTACGCCACAAAATCTTGAGACATATTGCACAATACATCGCAACCCCACTCACCGTGATTTTCAATGTGTCACTTGACCGAGGTGTGTTACCTATGAACTGGAAGGATGCGATCGTCACTCCCATACATAAAACAGGACCAAGACAACTTCCATCGAACTACAGACCTGTCAGCCTCACCAGTGTTGTGATTAAAATACTGGAAAGAACAGTCAAACAGACCATAATGACATTTGTTAAACAATGAACAACATGGTTTCAGAAAATATTTATCTTACACAACAAAACTCCTTATAGTAAGGGACTACTGGATAAAGGCGCTAGATAACGGAAACTCAGTGGACGTTGTCTACACAGACCTCAGTAAGGCATTTGACAAGGTGCCAACAAATAGAATGCTATTGAGGCTAGAAAGTCTTAGCACCTCTTAAAATGGTTTAAGGATTTCCTAGTAGGTTGTACCCGTGATCTGATCTCACAAGGATTTTGAGGTGACAGTGAGTTATTATTTTAAGACCACGGCCCATTGCCGGAAGGTTGCAGGGCGAGACTCTAATTTAGCGATGAGCCAATCAGAAGCGTTTGAGCAATTTCAAGGTCACGGAGCCAAGTTCAACACGCGATGCTAACATACGGTCGGTTCACAGCGGATTTTAGAGAGGAGGTGATTAATGAGAGGTTAAAACAGATGGGACGGCGAAACTCTAATTTAGGGACGAGCCAATGAGGAGCGTTTGAGCGATTTCAATTATTAGCCAATCAGAAGACAGTATAAAGTAAAAATATATAACAAGAAAGTAATGAATTACAGTGGATATTCTTCTTTTACATGATTTAAAAACTTGTTGAGGTTTGATAAAGGCTCAGAAGTTCTGAATTCATAATGCATATTGCATAGAAACTCGTCCATAGGGTTAGGGTTTGGGGTTAAAATTAGGGTTAAGGGTTAGGGTTTAGGGCTATGGTTAGGGTTTTGGGTTAGGCTAAGGTTAGGGTTTGGGGTTAGGTTAAGGTTTAGGGCTAAGGTTAGATTAGGGTTAGGTTAAGGTTTAGGGTTAGGGTTAGATTAGGGTTTAGGGTCAAGGTTAGGGTTTAGGGTTAGATTAGGGTTTAGGGTTAGGATTAGGGTGCTAACATGCGATCGGTTTACATCGGATTTTAGAGAAGAGGTGTCTATTGACAGGCTACAATCCTAACCACTAACCCTATGGATGAATTTCTATACAACATGCATTATGAATTCAGAGCCTCTGAACCTTTATCAAACCTTAACAAGTTTTTAAATCATGTAAAAGAAGAATATTCACTGTAATTCATTACTTACTTACAATATATTCTCACTTTATACTAACTGTCTTCTGATTGGCTAATAATTGTCAAGGTCATTTAAAATTCGTTCAAAGGTCGTCGCTAAATTAGAGTCTCGCCGACTGGACACTCACAGAAGCATACTGGAAAAGGAATAGCATAGGTTGTTGTAGTCCTATTTGTTATAGCCGCCTAATTATCACGTTTTGTCTAAAATTCGTTATGAACCGATAGTATGTGAGTAGTCTTAGACGTAATTTAGTCAACAGTACTCCTATGTACATCGGACATGTGAATCATATGATAGAATCGAGGCCAGTATTCCGATTGTTACTGGCTGTGTGATACTCTCAACTTCGATGAGGAAATTTCTACCTTGTAATAGCCAACCTGCATGTTAAGCCATACGTGTTACTTCGCCTAACTAATCGGCTTTTTTACGTTTGAAGACCAGGGACTTACTAAAAGAAGGGAAAACTACCAAACCCATTTTTCCGGGACCGACCTTGACATTTGAAGATTGCGGTAACCTTCATCAAAACTAGTCTTCAGTCTTCAGTAATAAGGATAGTAGGTTGATGAACCTGTGTTAATCCTGACAAATTGCTTTCCAGTGAAGGTCCAGCTTTTCCTTGAAAGTATTCACTGATGGGGCTGATACCATTTGTTCGGGTAAGGCGTTCCAATGATTGACTACTCGATGAGAAAAACGGGATCCCAGTTTAAGTTTATTAGATCGTGGTTTATGAACCTTCTTGCTATGACCTCGGAGATTATTAGTGCTGGAGGGAGCAAAAAGATAAGACATATTAACACCCAAATCATAATTGAAGATACGAAATGCCAGTATAAGGTCACCTCGTGTCCTACGATACGACAAGGGGAAAAGATTTACGCGTTTTAAGCGCTCATCGTAAGGGAGTCTAGAAAGACCCTTCACTAATTTCGTTCCCACACGCTGGACACGCTCAAGGGAGTTAGTATCCTTTACGAGACACGGGCTAGCTGCTTGGATACAGTACTCTAAGTGTGGTCTTACATAGGTGGGACATAAAATTCGAAACGTTTCCTCGTCAAAAGATTTGAACGCTCGGAGAAGTGACCATAACGCACGAAAACTTTTGACAGCGGCTGCTTTGCAATGCGCAGTTGTTTTTAAGTCATGACTTAATATTACTCCTAAGTCCTTATGCTCTTGAACGCATGGAAGAGGTTTACCCTCGATAGTGTAACGGTAACTATTACCGTGACCGACGTTCATTAGTACACTCTTCCTAGCATTGATTTCTAAGCCCCACTCTCGAGCCCATCTAACTAAATCGTCTAAGTCAGCTTGAAGATCCACATAATCAGCCGCACTTTTTATTGTTCTCCAGATTTTTACATCATCTGCAAACAATAATGTCGACGACCTAAGTAACAGTGGTAACTCATTAACGTAGAGAAGGAAGAGCAGAGGGCCTAAGATGGTGCCTTGGGGTACATCACTTTTGACCGGCTTCCAATCGGATAGCGTTCCATTGACCCTAACTCTCTGTCTGCGGTCACATAAGAAATTTCCTATCCACTCATGTACAGTACCTATTATTCCGAAGCTCGTGAGCTTCTGCATAAGACCTACGTGTGAAACCTTGTCAAACGCTTTGCTAAAATCTATGAATATCACGTCGACAGACAGACCGTGATCTAGGGCTGCTGTCCAATCCTCCCTCGCAATAAGCAAGTTAGTCAAGCAAGAACGCTTGTTACGAAATCCGTGTTGCTCAGGAGCTAACAGATTGTGTGAATCTATGTGGCTTAGCAACCTAACCCGAATTATCTTTTCGAGTAACTTAACGACTATGCTAGTTAGACTGACAGGCCGGAAGTTAGATACTATCTGTCGCTGACCGTCCTTAAATATAGGACTAACTATAGTGTCCTTCCAATCTCTAGGGAGTTGAGCGAGTGAGAGGGACATGTTGAAGAGTGTCGCAAGCGGTTTTGAAATAATGTCCGCAAGAGATGATAGCAACCGTGGATGTAACCCGTCAGAGCCCGGTATCTTACCAGGTTTGAGGTTAGTTATCAACGGAAGGACAGTTTCCTCAGTCACCTGTACAGATTCAATGGTTGGTATCTCGGTGTGAGTGGGACAAGTATTTGTTACAATAAACGTAGAGAAGACTTCGCTAAAATAATCTGAAAAAGTCCCAGCTTTTGCTCGATCTGATTCAGCTAGTAATTCTGAATTTTCGTGTAACAGCAACGGGGGAATACCATCACTACGTTTCATTTGCCGTTTAACATACGAAAACAATCGTTTCGGACAAGTACGGCTATCATATACTAACTGTCGTTCGTAAGTGGTACGGGATTTCGCTATGGTTTTCTTACAGATATTACGGTATTTTTGGTACTCACGCTTAAATGGTGCATGACCTGTCAACAAGAATAAGTCCCAGAAATGTTTCCTACGCTTTAACAGCTTCCGGGTTTCCTTATTAATCCGTGGAGGGCAATGTGATAACTTACGTGCTGACCATGGGATAAACGGCGACGTTACGGACTCGAATGTAGCCTTAAACTTATTCCATTCATCTTCGATCAATCCATCCGCGTCGACCGACCAATCGGTCAAGATAGCACGGTTTCTGATTTCCGGAATATTAGCTCGCCAGATATTGGGACGGGGTGGAGCAGATACGAATTGTATACCATGCGTCCTAAACTTAAAGTGAATTACAACGTGATCACTGTTCACTAGTGGAGGAAGGTGCTGGATATCAAAGACATCCTCAGAGTGGTGGGTGAGGGCGAGGTCCAGCAGTGACGGAACATGTTGCAAATCAATATGTGTCGGTTTTGTGATACATTGTACAAGTGCACACTGGATAACGGTAGATAAAAGGTCGCTATCGAAACCACTACCTGGAGCTGTAAGCTCTATCCAGTTGATATGCGGTGCGTTGAAGTCCCCAATGATGAGACAACATTCTGCCATACTCCAAGAACAGATGTGTCTTAGGATAAAGTCGTCAGCCAGAGAAGACGGACTACGGTATATTCCCCCTATAGTCACTAACCCATTTCTAGATTTAATCTCACAACATGCAACCTCACATGTGCCACTGATATGAGCCTCCGATATGGTTGATTGTATACGAAAGTGATCCCTAACGTAAAATATTATACCTCCCCCCTTGCGACTTGAAACTCTATCACTTCTGATACAGATATAACCAGCAATGAAAGGAGAACAGTCTATATCAACGGTGAACCAAGTTTCTGTAACAACGATTATATCGGGACATAATTCTTGCACCATCAGACTTAGCTCGGACGTTTTATTTCTAAGGCTACGAGCGTTCGTGTAGCACACACTTAAGGTGTTTTGGAGATCAATCGTTCTACCCATACAGGCCTCGGAAGCATTGGCTTCCAAGACCTGACTACCCGAAAACCCTTAATGGTAAGGTTATTTTCGCCATTTAATTTGCGAGTCCTCAACTCCGTAAGAGCATTCTTCCACTTGATTCGATCCTCAAGCGGCCAATCTGGTCGAATACGGATATTCGAGGCACGAGTTTTTAGTGCGCTTTTCAATAATATGTCTCTTTCTTCGAAACTCCCGAGAACCAGCTTCAGGATCCTTCTTGGTTGGGTCTCGCCTCCAACCCATTTACCAAGTCGTATTACTTTTGTAATATGTACCCCTGAAACCTCTTCAGGTAGTACATTCCTCACCACAGACTCCACTAACTGCAGGTCATGTGCGTGTCTTTTAGCAGGGTCGTTGTCTTTCGACTCCTCTAGATTTCAAATAATTAAACTAGGGATGGGTTTAGCTTCTTTTGAAACTGTGTTCACAGCTTTCGACCGTGACGTTAGATCCTGTATTTTAACTACTGGTATCTTACGATTAGTTTTTATTTTAACAGAGTCCTGGGAGTCAAGCGAATGACTAACAACAATGTCAGACGAAGCTTTACTATGAGACTTTGGCGGATTGGT